TTGTATGTTTAGTATCTATTTAAAAAACCATTATTACAACGTGGATAATAAAAACTCTTATCTATATTAATAACTTTTCATCTATCAAATATATATGATCAATATAATTATTTACTATTCACCTTACCCCACTTTGCATATTTGTAAAAAATATGAACTAACATATTAAAGATGTGAACAGATGTGTTTCGCTTGCTTCTTACTATCTTCCCACATAGCTTCAATGTTCAACTGATTTTATGCTTACCAGGCGAGGCCTGATGCCGTGCGGGGCCCGATGACTGTATGGTGTGTTATAGTCTTTATGATTATTGCATGTGCTAGTATGGTTATATGTCTCTATGATTATATGGTTATATGGTAATGTGTGTATCGGGCAGGGCTCGATGACGGGCGAGGCCCGATGACCGGAAGATATGCTAGTGTTTATGATCATTTATGTGTTAGCATGATTAAGTGATATTTTGTATGTGTCTAGTGGGAAAGGCCCAGTGACAGACGAGGCCTGAGAATAACATATATGTAATCTAAGGGGGCTCGATGCCAGGCGGGGCTCGATGTCGGGCGGGGCCTGAGGCCGAGTGGGACTCGAGATCGGCACTACTAGAAAACAACCCTTTAATGACACGCAAATAATGACACGCACTGATAGAGGACACGTATTTGTGCGTGCCCTAAAAATCAATGTCAGTTTTCCAAAATTTGAAGGATAGAGGACACACATTTATGTGTGCCCTAAAATTAGTGTCCAACAAAAAAAATTAAAAACAAGGAGGGCACCTATCATAAAAAAGTGTGTCGTGTAAAACTGTCGTTTTATAATTTTTTTTCATGAATGCGCGTTCTTCCATTTTTTTAATTGCCAAGTGGGGGGAATTAAATCCCAAAAAAATTGAAAACCCCGCCTGATACTCTCCTCCTTCTTCTTCGTATTTTGTAAAATCCTCTTCCAAAGAAACCCTAAAAGGATTGTGTGGTTGTCGATCTTTGTCCCTTTCATATTTTTGGAGGTCTACAGCCATACAGAGTTCAACGACGAAAACTATCCTCTTTTCTCCACCATTTTCTTCCCCTGAGTCATCTTTATTTGCCTAATAGCGTGCCCTAAGAATTATAAGTATTACAATGGTTTTCAGCCATTCGATGCTTCCTTATATGGCATCTCACCACAAAACCTCCCTATTTAGCATTTTCTGTCGGTTCTTCGTCCCTCCCCCATTCTCCTACGCTCCTCCATCTTCTCCCCACGTTCGCCTTCATGATTCTCTCAACCACGTTCCATATAAATAGATGGTTTGTTGACTAGAGACCGGTTTTAGCTCTCTCACCCTACATTCAAGCGATTCTCTCCAACAAATACCAGGTAAAACTTAATTTCATGATCTTGTGCAACATTTAACCTTCTAGTCTCTGTGACTGAATCTTTTAGGTTCTCTTTGTTCCACTTTTCTTTGTTTCATCAGAGCTTACAAAAGTTTCTCTGGGTTATCATATGCAGGGATCAAAGGAGTGAACCCAGATTGTACCTCTAGAAGCAAGAGTCGTAGCAACTCTTAGGACACTTGGATAGTTTGAATTTTCTGTGAAAAGTTTTAAATAGAGAATGGGAGTGTGGAAGCCTAAATTAAGTTTCGTTTTCAATTGTGTACAAGAAAGTCAAGTCGTCTTCTTCTTCTTTTTCTTTAGGAAAGGGTAATTTAGGGCTTTTTAGCTTGGGTTCGTATATGACAATGATTTTATGTGTATGAGTTGTAGAAGCGAGCTATATGGCAACTGTAGAGTCTCTTTTGCTTGGATCCTGCATATTCAGATTAACTCGACCCATGGAATTAACATCAAGGTTCATTGCAGGATCACCACCTGGCATACATAACGAGCGTTCATAAACACTCTTCTGAAGTCTCTCTTGCATTGAAAGATTCCGCTCAAAATAACTCAAATCATTTAAAGGCAGTCTCTGTTGTTGTTGATAAACATCTAAAGGGTTGAGTCCACTGGAATTGACTCGGTGAATCCCACTAGCACTTCTTAGAAACTGAGTGGTTTCATAAACAGGCCTAGGCCAGACAGAAGCAAGATGCCTCTCTTCTTCCATCTCCATCCTCTGCCTTAAACCCAAAGGCAAAGCCAGCTGTTGCCTTCCCTGAAACTGCTCCTACTGAAGCATATGATGTTCCATCTGGCCGTGCTTCGTATGTGCAATGAGCTCCAACAGCTCGTTTGGATGTCCTTGTCTTTGAACTTGACGACCATACTTTGCTTGACTCAGATCCTTTATCGATGATGGATCAACATGTTGTGAACACTGGTGAAGTTCATTCAAGATTTGATGCTTCAGAAGAATCTATTTAAGTGCATTATTTGATCTTACAGCATCCACACGTGATTGATCTTGTGCTGCACGCATTATTTGATCTTGTAGCATGTTGACATGATTGTTTGTCTCACGTTGAATCAATCAAATCTTCTTATAACCATTTATTTGATCTGAACTGTATATTATGCTTGATCTAATTTCGTTTACATGATTTGGTATTTATAGCTGGGAATTCAATTGGGTCAATGATCTGCAGGCGATGTGACAAAGACTATGCTGAAGAATGAGGGAGTCGGTGCCTTCTATAAGGTTTGTCCTCTTCTGTGCCTTATATATAATATTGTAGAATTCATACTCAGAAGAAAGAATTGTAGCTGCACTTATGTCGAAAGATTGGTCCAGGCTAGAATTTCTTTTCTTACTCTTTGATGAAAAAATATCATGCACAATGGATGAAGCTTTTGGATTCAAATCAAATAAAATTTTTATTAATAAAAATACCGTCTTAAAAACCATTTGTATGTTTAGTATCTATTTAAAAAACCATTATTACAACGTGGATAATAAAAACTCTTATCTATATTAATAACTTTTCATCTATCAAATATATATGATCAATATAATTATTTACTATTCACCTTACCCCCACTTTGCATATTTGTAAAAAATATGAACTAACATATTAAAGATGTGAACAGATGTGTTTCGCTTGCTTCTTACTATCTTCCCACATAGCTTCAATGTTCAACTGATTTTATGCTTACCAGGCGAGGCCTGATGCCGTGCGGGGCCCGATGACTGTATGGTGTGTTATAGTCTTTGTGATTATTGCATGTGCTAGTATGGTTATATGTCTCTATGATTATATGGTTATATGGTAATGTGTGTATCGGGCAGGGCTCGATGACGGGCGAGGCCCGATGACCGGAAGATATGCTAGTGTTTATGATCATTTATGTGTTAGCATGATTAAGTGATATTTTGTATGTGTCTAGTGGGAAAGGCCCAGTGACAGACGAGGCCTGAGAATAACATATATGTAATCTAAGGGGGCTCGATGCCAGGCGGGGCTCGATGTCGGGCGGGGCCTGAGGCCGAGTGGGACTCGAGATCGGCACTACTAGAAAACAACCCTTTAATGACACGCAAATAATGACACGCACTGATAGAGGACACGTATTTGTGCGTGCCCTAAAAATCAATGTCAGTTTTCCAAAATTTGAAGGATAGAGGACACACATTTATGTGTGCCCTAAAATTAGTGTCCAACAAAAAAAATTAAAAACAAGGAGGGCACCTATCATAAAAAAGTGTGTCGTGTAAAACTGTCGTTTTATAATTTTTTTCATGCATGCGCGTTCTTCCATTTTTTTAATTGCCAAGTGGGGGGAATTAAATCCCAAAAAAATTGAAAACCCCGCCTGATACTCTCCTCCTTCTTCTTCGTATTTTGTAAAATCCTCTTCCAAAGAAACCCTAAAAGGATTGTGTGGTTGTCGATCTTTGTCCCTTTCATATTTTTGGAGGTCTACAGCCATACAGAGTTCAACGACGAAAACTATCCTCTTTTCTCCACCATTTTCTTCCCCTGAGTCATCTTTATTTGCCTAATAGCGTGCCCTAAGAATTATAAGTATTACAATGGTTTTCAGCCATTCGATGCTTCCTTATATGGCATCTCACCACAAAACCTCCCTATTTAGCATTTTCTGTCGGTTCTTCGTCCCTCCCCCATTCTCCTACGCTCCTCCATCTTCTCCCCACGTTCGCCTTCATGATTCTCTCAACCACGTTCCATATAAATAGATGGTTTGTTGACTAGAGACCAGTTTTAGCTCTCTCACCCTACATTCAAGCGATTCTCTCCAACAAATACCAGGTAAAACTTAATTTCATGATCTTGTGCAACATTTAACCTTCTAGTCTGTGTGACTGAATCTTTTAGGTTCTCTTTGTTCCACTTTTCTTTGTTTCATCAGAGCTTACAAAAGTTTCTCTGGGTTATCATATGCAGGGATCAAAGGAGTGAACCCAGATTGTACCTCTAGAAGCAAGAGTCGTAGCAACTCTTAGGACACTTGGATAGTTTGAATTTTCTATGAAAAGTTTTAAATAGAGAATGGGAGTGTGGAAGCCTAAATTAAGTTTCGTTTTCAATTGTGTACAAGAAAGTCAAGTCGTCTTCTTCTTCTTTTTCTTTAGGAAAGGGTAATTTAGGGCTTTTTAGCTTGGGTTCGTATATGACAATGATTTTATGTGTATGAGTTGTAGAAGCGAGCTATATGGCAACTGTAGAGTCTCTTTTGCTTGGATCCTGCATATTCAGATTAACTCGACCCATGGAATTAACATCAAGGTTCATTGCAGGATCACCACCTGGCATACATAACGAGCGTTCATAAACACTCTTCTGAAGTCTCTCTTGCATTGAAAGATTCCGCTCAAAATAACTCAAATCATTTAAAGGCAGTCTCTGTTGTTGTTGATAAACATCTAAAGGATTGAGTCCACTGGAATTGACTCGGTGAATCCCACTAGCACTTCTTAGAAACTGAGTGGTTTCATAAACAGGCCTAGGCCAGACAGAACCAAGATGCCTCTCTTCTTCCATCTCCATCCTCTGCCTTAAACCCAAAGGCAAAGCCAGCTGTTGCCTTCCCTGAAACTGCTCCTACTGAAGCATATGATGTTCCATCTGGCCGTGCTTCGTATGTGCAATGAGCTCCAACAGCTCGTTTGGATGTCCTTGTCTTTGAACTTGACGACCATACTTTGCTTGACTCAGATCCTTTATCGATGATGGATCAACATGTTGTGAACACTGGTGAAGTTCATTCAAGATTTGATGCTTCAGAAGAATCTATTTAAGTGCATTATTTGATCTTACAGCATCCACACGTGATTGATCTTGTGCTGCACGCATTATTTGATCTTGTAGCATGTTGACATGATTGTTTGTCTCACGTTGAATCAATCAAATCTTCTTATAACCATTTATTTGATCTGAACTGTATATTATGCTTGATCTAATTTCGTTTACATGATTTGGTATTTATAGCTGGGAATTCAATTGGGTCAATGATCTGCAGGCGATGTGAGAAAGACTATGCTGAAGAATGAGGGAGTCGGTGCCTTCTATAAGGTTTGTCCTCTTCTGTGCCTTATATATAATATTGTAGAATTCATACTCAGAAGAAAGAATTGTAGCTGCACTTATGTCGAAAGATTGGTCCAGGCTAGAATTTCTTTTCTTACTCTTTGATGAAAAAATATCATGCACAATGGATGAAGCTTTTGGATTCAAATCAAATAAAATTTTTATTAATAAAAATACCGTCTTAAAAACCATTTGTATGTTTAGTATCTATTTAAAAAACCATTATTACAACGTGGATAATAAAAACTCTTATCTATATTAATAACTTTTCATCTATCAAATATATATGATCAATATAATTATTTACTATTCACCTTACCCCACTTTGCATATTTGTAAAAAATATGAACTAACTTATTAAAGATGTGAACAGATGTGTTTCGCTTGCTTCTTACTATCTTCCCACATAGCTTCAATGTTCAACTGCTAATAAAGATAAGCTTTTATATATAACGAGGCAACAAATTCCATCATGGGTGCATATGAAGTTCTTTAACTAAGACCTACAACATTGTCTGAATATTTGTTTATTAAGCTCGAGCATTTTAAGTATAAACTAGCAGAGCTTGGTTAGATCATGATTGGCTTGGTTTGATTACAAGTTTTACTAAATGGGTTCTTTCTCATGGATTACTTAGACAAGCTACATACACAAATTTTTTAGACAAGCTATAGGCAACAAATTGTTTTGAACAGGTTCTTTCTGATGGATTACTTAAACAAGCTACATACACAACAACCAGACTTGGTACATTCAGGTACACCATTAATGATTCATTAACCAAAAAAACACATATTTATTGTTTTAGGTTGTTTATGTGACTCTTTAATTACTTGATAGGATTCTGACAAACAAGGCACTTGAAGCCAACGATGGAAAGCCACTACCTTTATATCAAAAATCTCTCTGCGGGCTAACAGCTAGTGCAATCGGAGCCTGTATAGGAAGCCCTGCTGAGCTGGCACTCATCCATATGTAAGCTGATGCCAGCCAAACGTAGTAACTACACAAACGCATTCCATGCTCTCTACAGAATCACTGCAGATGAAAGAGTTTTAGCTCTCTGGAAAGGTGTTGGTCCCACTGTGGTTAGGGCAATGGCATTGAACATGGGCATGCTTGCTTCCAATGATCAGAGTGTTGATTTCTTCAAAGACAATTTTGGTTTTGTGAGGCAGCTACAATTGTAGGTAGGATCAAATCACAAAACCATAAAACCATAAAACTGTAATAAAACTACTAAAACAGAACTGGATGATTTTTTAATTTTGGGAATGATTTCAGGGGCAAGTTCTATATCAACGTTCTTTGCTGCTGCATGTAGTTTACCCTTTGACTTTCTGAAAATACAAATACAGAAGATGCAACCTGATGCTACAGGGAAATACCCGTATACAGGATCTCTAGATTGTGCCATGAAAACACTCAAAGCTGGAGGACCTTTTAGATTCCACACAGGGTTTCCAGTATACAAAATGGGCTTCTTTGGAGGTGGGTCTAGGAACTGGAGTTCCATGGGTCATGTACAAGCAAGATGATGCCACTCATCCATTTGTAAGTGACCCGACCTGATTGTACTTATTATTTATTTTATTTTTTTGCAATTTTATTGGTTGATTTAATTTATATATAATGTAGGTTCACTGAGTTTGGAGGTGTGGTTCCTTATAGACCAGCTGAAGATTTGACATATTTAGTTGCTAAATTTATTCAAAGTGGTGGATCTTTTATTAATTACTATATGGTAAATAATAGTGTTTTTCTTGTAATATTATTTCTTAATTCTTCATTACTTGATAATATCACATTGAAATTAATTCTTTTGTTGTATTTTGATTTTGTAGTATCATGGAGGAACAAATTTTAGACGAACTGCAGGTGGCCCATTTATTGCAACAAGTTATGACTATGATGCCCCTCTTGATGAATTTCGTATGTTTTAAAGCTATTTTACATTTCATAATTCATATTAGCATGCATGTGGAAATTATCATACTAATATAAATTTGAATATTAAGTTGGCGGGGTTTCTATTCGAGTTAAGTATGGTTTATTTAACATACTTTAAAGCGTTATTCAGTCAAAGGGTTTTGACTTTGGATCATAAGATTCTTTCTTCTACTCTTTCTAAAAGGGCATTTTAGATATTTCACAAAACAATTACTATAAGTAGAAATTTTTTTTTATGTAATACACAAATTTTATTTTCATATTCCACCCTTCCCATATTATAAACCACAAAAAAAAACAGTTTCAGACACCTCTGCTATTGGAGACATTGGCTAAGTGCAGGAAATAGCAATGTACTTTGCTATTTCTTGCAAAATAAGTTGTTGTTTCATGCATTTAGGCCTTTTTTGGTTAAAATGCAAGAAATAGCAGCATACTTAATTTATTTGAGTTGAAAAAAAAAATAGAATTTACTTTTTGTTAACAAGATAACTCATTTTATATCTCCAAGTGCAGGAAAATTGTAGAAAAATAGTCGAAATTGGATGAGTTGATGCATCTTTAAGTGGTGAAGTTGCAAGGCTTAAAGCTGCCATGGAGATTGTCAAATGAGAACTTACTCATGGGTTCGTTTTAATTTTGTACATGTTTTGTTTTTCTATAATAAATATTATGCAATATTAGCAATGTGTTACATTTACTTACTATTGGATGATTATTTGTATTTGACATATTAGTGCGATGAATTATCTTTCTTGTTTATGGTATTTTATTTTTTATTATGAGACTTTTAATGAGTATCGTAAAGACGCGTCGTAAATGTATATCGTAAATGGTTGCTGAAGTTTATGACACACAAATGTGTGTCATCTTCATTTATGACAGGGGCTTTAATGATACGCAATGCGTGTCCTAAACATACGTCGTAAGGTTACGACACGCAAATGTGTGTCGTCTTCCTTTATGACAGGGGCTTCCTTGATACGCATTGCGCGTCGTAAATGTCTGTCGTAATGCGTGTCATAAATGCGCGTCGTAAATGCGCGTCGTCTATAGACGACGCACAAAAGCGTCTCGTCTCTCGTTATGACAGGTCCTTCCTTGACACATATTTCCGCGTCGTCTGAGCGTTTTACAACACACATTACGCGTCGTAAAAGGCTGTTTTCTAGTAGTGCGGGCGAGGCCCGATGGAAGGCGGGGGCCCAGTATGTGATTTATGTATGTGTGGTATGAGGTATCTTGGGGAACTCACTAAGCTTTGTGTTTATGATTTTTAGTTTATGTTTCAGGTACTTTGGTTTCAAATGGAAGAGCTCAGGATGATTGCAGAGCACACACCACATGTTTCCGCAATATGTGATTTACTCTGATTTAATGGTGTTTCGATGAATCTTGTTTACCTTTGTTTTATGGAAATGATATGTATCAATGAATTATTAATCTAAAACGAAAATTTTATGTTATTATTTTTGGGATGTTACAAGTTGGTATCGGAGCCATGGTTTGAGGAATTCGGACATACTCTCGGGTGTGTCAGAACTCAAACTAAGGATTTGGTAAAGTTTTCAAAAGAAAAGTATTTTTATGAAAAGAGTTTTTGAAGATAAGAAAGGGTGTGGTGCAAGCAATCAAATGAACTCAAGTAAGTTTCTCCCAAAATATCCATACATGTTATCTGATATGATTTGATTTATGAATCTGTGAATCACATGCTAGTTAGGGATAAGGATATGCTCAGTTTTTGCATGGTAGAATGCTAGGAGAGATGCCTTGTATGCCTATTGTTTAAGCTTGTAGACTTGCATGCTAGTTATGATTAGCCAGTGATAGGTTGGCCTGATATGTGATACGTTGTAGTCTAGGAAGCATGGGATGCTAGGTTGGGTATAGTTTGTATGCGTAAGGCAATTAGTTGCAGGAGTGGGAGCTCCTAGTTTGAGTTGTAGTGTGTGGGATAGGAGTGCTACTGCTCGAATGCTACTTGTTTTGTGATTTGTGGAACTCTTAAGTGATGGGAGTTAACTACCAAGTGAATATCTCAAGTCACATGTGACAAAGGTTGAATAATCTCAGAGTGATGGATTTGACCCTACTGCGCAGCTCTTGTCTGAGTCCAACCGTTATAGGGATGAGACTGTATCTTGAAGGATTATCTAAGCTTTGTTGATTGTATTCATGAGGTGGGTGACTGACATTATGGGGAGTTCTTTAGCAACTGATGGCATGGTGAGGTCAGGAACCTAGGAAAGCCTAGGGATTTCTTCAGTGGGTGTTAGTTGTGCTAGTTAGCGAGTGTTTGGAGTTTGGATTTGAGAAGGTGACTTAGAGGATTCGGGAGGATTGTTGAGGAAAGTATGGATATGTGTGGAAGGTAGTATTGGGCCCGTACTACTGAAAGCACAAGATCCATACTCGAATCAGGGAGAGTCTTGGAGAATCTAGGAAGCCTATGGGATGCGGATTCTTGGGTATATTCAGATCTTGTGCATGTTGTTTCTGTATGGTGATGATCACTCAGGAATGGGATCCAATTCTGGTTCCGGCTCAGGAGCAGGTACCGAGTCGATTGATGCACGGACGCGGGAGTTCACTTCATCGGAGATTACCTGTAGTGTTTTGGAATAGACCCTGGTGGTCTTTGGTTCCGTCAAGGAAAGGAATTTGGATTTCTTGGATGGTCATCTCGGGGCCTTTCGGACCGAAGTTGTAGTAGGGCAGTTGGGGGCTCATATGGAGCCCAAAGCTTGTGGATCTTTAGAATCCTTCAGGAAGGAGGATCTTATTGTTAGTTCTTGTCAGTTGGGAGTAGGAGTGAGTTTTGGCATCATGTTCTTAGGATGGTCGGGGTAGGAGGTCGGGATTCCTTCTGATGCTTTTCGGGTATGTCCTTTTCTATTTTCTTCTGGGTTGTTATTGGTAATTTCTATTGCATTCGAATTTTGCTTGGGTTGGGTAAGCAATATCTCGGGTTGATTTTTCTGCTATTGTCTGGGTTATATTATCAAGGATTGTGATATGGTGTTCTGCATGCCAGGAATCTTTGATGAATCTTCAGAGGGTCGTATCTTGTTGGGTGGGTTCAACATGTCCCGTTGTTGTTTCGGGTCTTTGTCAGGATCACTTCAGGAGTATGGCTTAGAGGACCTTTCGTCAGGGTTAGCGGGATAGTTCTCCAGTAAACTTAGGGTTCAATGGTTTCATCATCCGTTCGGGCATGATCTGTGGTTGCCCATGGAACAACTTTTGAGTTCCAGCACTACCGTTGCTTGGAGAGGAGCGGTAGCAGGAAGATGATGGTGTCAGTTGTGTGAGTTGTTTGATCATTGGCATGATATCAAGGGAAGTGATTGGATTATCAAATTGGTTAAGATTTCGAGAGTATTCTTCAGGACATTAGGAATTGGGCGATCATTTAGTTTTCCTAGTGATGGAAAGTTAGTATTGATAAGCACAGGTCATAGACGGTTCATGCTATATAAGGTTGATGCGTTGGGAATCCATCAGATTTAAGGAATGAGAGAACTTTGTCGAATCCAAGTGGGGGAGAATCGATCAGGTTTTTCCGGAAGTCAGGAAGCATGTGAACTAGGGCAAGTTTCACATCCTGGCCAGAAGGAGAGACGGCTCAAGCGGTCGTTTATATTGAGGTAGTGAAAGTGGGAGTTCAGAAAACTTCCAACAGTTGGTCGGCGTTTTCCTTATTATGCATAGCAGGCTTGTGGTTGAGCCTAGGTTGAGGTCTTCGGAATTCGAAGTATGATCCGAGCACCTGATTGGATGCAGTTGGGTACAGGATTTGGCTCAGGGTGAGTAGGGTGTGATGATTAGGGTGTGGATAGGCCATGGGTGATAATCATAGTTGGATTGAAGTGTTGTAAGACTATGATGGGATTGTAGAATTCACCCGACTGAAGTAGACGAACGTTGGGGTGGTCATGAGTGAAAAGGGGGAATCAGTTGTGCCTTGGGCACGCCGACCAGGATTGCCGACGAGTACTTCCCTGTTCAGGGTTGAGGACCACTGGGGTTCGAGGCGGAGTCAGGCTTGTGTAGCTCTAGGCGGGAAGGACTCGTGAGTAAGGCTGCTCCGTGGTTTACTTGGGTGGGACCCGTGGGCAAGGCCCACATGATTACAGCAATGCAGGTGGGACCTAGTAGCGACCGTTGGGTCAAGATTTTGGATCTTGAGTTGCAGGATTAAGCTGGTGGTCAGTGTGTGACGCAAAGGGGTTTATAGGTTGGGTAGCCTTGTTATTTGGACTCTTAGGAACCTTATGGTTGGACTAGGTGCAAGATTGGTCAGCTCAGCGATGGTTGGGAAACTTTATATCTTGGTCTAATGAGGGGTTGTCATTAATCAGAAGTTTTTGG